CTTTATTACATCAGGATGCAATTGCAAGTTTTGCAATTACAGTTTTTGAAATTGTTCAATTACCGAGAGATTTTTAACCTAAGTACGAAGTTTTTTCGATTATTCCGATATTGGGTTACTGAGGGGTTGTTTGATTAGGTTTTCAATCGAACTTGAAAGTTAATTAGCGTGTATTTTTAATTTTGAATCCGTTATTTGCAATTTGGCTTTCCATTTGTTCTTCTCTGATTTCCTTTGCATGCTTTCTTTTTTCAGGGAGAGGCCGACAGTGGTTTGGACCGACTCTGGCAGAAGAAGAAAACTGAAGTTAAACAACAGTAGAAAGAGATGATGATTCTTCTTGCTTCCTCGAACCTTCGGTTCTTGGTGATGGAAGTTTTTAATTTCTGAAGTAAAATGTGACGTTGAGGGTTTTTCTTATTCAATCAGTGCTGCTTGTTGCAAGTAGTTGCCGATGTTTTGGTGTTCTTGAATTGGGCTTCTTTTGACTGTTAAAGTAGTGAAACTTCTACTCATTTGAGTATTTTAAATATATTCCTGGTTTCTTGAAATGATTTACACTCGTAATGCATGATTATCTTATGATATATGTCAAAAATTATACCCATGGCTATATACGTTGTAGTGACCTCGATGTTTCTCGACTCTTTTAGTATCGACATAGATTATGTCATGTCAGTTACAAGTGAAAAGTATCTCGAGGATTCGACGTTTTGAAACAAAGTTTCAACTATCGAAAAGGTTGCTAGCAAGCAAAGCAAATTGACATCTGACATGTATGTTGTCACTTGTCGAAAACTTCAAACATGAATATGAATGTTTGCAAGCGTAGATTTAAGGAATTAACCACTTGTGATTAAAATTAAAATCCGTAATTAACCACTTTATAAACAAAAGAAATTATTTTTAAAATACAAATCCGATGAGACTTAAATCTTAAAATTCCAAGCACTATCTAATCCTAATTTGTACGACTGCGACATAATATATCACAAAATATATTTACTTCTTGATGCCATCTGCATGAATTGCAATTACTGAATTTATCATGGTCATCGAAATCCCATCCTTGTTCGATTGTGTACGGACCTTGTGGATCTCCACAGTCGTTGCATGCTTTCATGGCAGTGTTCTCATCGTGTGCTTCTACAATTCTACCTATTACTTCCCTATTCACCCACATTGTGTTCCAAATCAATTCCTTAATCCTCTCTCGGCATTCTGTCACGCTTAACCCTCTCGATTTGTGGCGGTTGAGTGAGTACAGAAGCTCGAGTCCTTTCTGCCTTGAATCGCCCCCGTAACACACCAAGATTGCTCCGTACACGTATGTTGCTTCTACGTGACCCTTTGAGGCTGCCCTCTTCAGAGACTCGACCCCCGCAGGCTCTATCCTCTTGCTTGTGAAGAGGTCGCGCATCCCTTGCCTGTACAAGGCCTCCGCATTGCCGAGATCCCTGCACCGCTTCAGAAACCTCGTGTGTTTTTCACTTGCGCGCCAGGAAACCAGCGGGAACTTGCTAATGTCGACGTGCTCGAATATGTGATCATCTTGGGCACTTTCGTTGAAATTCTTGCAGCTTAACATGGCTGAATAAAGATCATCGAAGGAGCGCGAAGCGACCTTCGCGAGTACTTGGACCAGAACCTCGTTCGGAAGAGATTGAATGGACGAGGAGGCGTTGCGAGGTTTCTTCTTCTTCTTCTTGATCCCGTGAGAGGCGCCGTTGACGATGCCTGAAACAAAAGACCGAACCATGGAGAACTTGCGAAGGAGAAAACGAAATCAGTTTGCTTTGCTGCCGGTACAAGAAACAATTAAACAACGTTAAGTGCGATTATATATAGTCAAACAGATGCAGTCTTTATCCTTGTAGGAAGAGGACAAGAAGCAACCGAAGCCAAATCGGAATTGGATTTATTATTATTATTATTTTTTGGGTCAAAAGAGGTTATAGAGTTTTAAATACTTGGATTTGTTATTAATAACCGGTTAACTTGGCTAAATCGGTATTGGTTTTGTTTCATGCTAATACAGAATCTTTTGCCCTACTACTAACTAAGAAAAATTACTTCATAGAGGAGGGTAATGGTGTTTGGCCATTCAATATTGAAAAAATATTTTAAATTCGAATTGCTATGAAATAATATGAATTACGAGGTTAAACCGTGTCACACTCCAACACTAGCATACTTGATATGTAATACACTTTTTATGGATGCATCTTCAAGGCGGCGCCAGAAAATTTAACTCTGGTGGACTAGCTAAAAAAATATATAAAAAAAAGTTTAGTTTTAGAAAATGACTATACTTTAATCTTATAAACATGGCTCATCCAATTATTTTGTGTTCATTGACCTTTAATTACTTATTTACGATAGGAAAAAGTCCTTGTTGGGTGTCGCAAATTGATTCATTGGAAATACTTTTTTTTTTTTTATCAGTTGTCGAAAATGCTTCATTTACGACGCTTGTGGCTTATCGTTATTAGTTATCTTTTAGTTGGAATTGATTTTTCAAAATGACAAAATTATTTTATTTTCGACATGTCTGTGTGGGCGCAAATACTTGTATGGTCGTCGAATATACTTTCCAAACGACAACATGTCACATCCCAGCCCGGGACGGATCACTTCTCGAGCCCGCTCCACCACCGTAGCACGATATTGTCCGCTTTGGGCTTACCATTCCCTCACGGTTTTGTTTTTGGGAACTCACGAGCAACTTCCCAGTGGGTCACCCATCATGGGATTGCTCTAGCCCCTTCTCGCTTAACTTCGGAGTTCCGATGAACTCCGAAGCCAGTGAGCTCCCAAAAGGCCTCTCGCTTGGTAGGGATGCGAATATACATTTAAGGATCATTCCCCTGTGCAATGTGGGATGTCACACGACATCTATTTTTTACGATGATTTTCTTACGACCAAAACATTATGTCGAAAAATGATTTTCCAAGACAAATACATATGAAAATAAACATAAAAGGTTAACACACTGTAAAACCTTTTGAAATAGATAAAATTCATGCATAAAATAATTTGAATTTTGAAATATGCAACAAGTTGCTTTTGAAAAGAACTAGAAGTACTATTAAAGTAAGCAATTATTGTCAGGCTTAACCATAAATTGGTAGTATATAAAGCGTAAAATAGATTGGATTATTTAAGAAATAAATAATAATGGCGAATGACGTAAATTGTAGATTGTAGATATATCTAGGTCATTGATCAAAATATTTGTCTATAAGATATTGATTAAGCTCACAAATACGCAATAAGAAATACATGAATTCAAAGTCAATTTTGTCTGTTTAGTTTGACGTTGAAATGAATAGCATCTTGTAGTGATAAAGTATTAGAAATAAAATATAGAGGAAGAGAACAAAAGAGTGATAAGAGATATATTGGAAGAATAAATCAGAGCTTGCTTTCTTTCTCATCAGGTATTTCAAGGTAGTTTGAGTGTGTGTGATACACATATAGAAAATATGAATCATGCCGCTTGAGTTTGAGCCATTGTTAGTTCAATATCGATATGACACTCATAAGTTTATTAGAGTACAATAAATTTGTATCACCTCAAATTTTCTGGCTTATTAGACTAACTCCAACCTTTCCCATTCTGACCCACCACCACCACCCCCCCCCCCCCCCCCCCGCCCCAAAAAAAAAAAAAATTCATTCCAACCCTTGTTCTAAAATTGGGTTAAGTGCTTAAACTCAAAAAAAAAAAAAAAAAAAAAAAAAAAAAAAAAAACTCAAGCACCAGCCAAGAAACCAACCTAGGCTAAATATCATGGCCCACTGTGCGTGTAAACGCGCTATGAAAAAAAGAAAAAGAAAGCACGCTAGTTAATGCACGAAAACCATGGCAACGTGTGAAAAAGCAAGGAAAATGGGACACTTTGAGGGGAAGTGGGGCCCAACCTGATGGGGTTGTCGGGTTTAACCAACCTAGACTAAATATCATGGCCCACTGTGCGTGTAGACGCGCTATAAAAAAAAGAAAAAGAAAGCACGCTAGTTAATGCACGAAAACCATGACAACGTTCGAAAAAGAAAGGAAAATGGGACACTTGGAGGGGAAGTGGGGCCCAACCTGATGGGGTTGTCGGCCATCAATATGCAATCCCATCTCCTTTATTTCTATTAGACGGCATATATTTCCATCTCCTTCAAATCTAACAGGAGATATTTATTTTTTAATAATCTTGGGCTAAAATTTTAGGCCAGAAGGATTGGAACAGAAAAGTTATCTCTGGGTTAAAACCTAAATTTTAAGGGTTAAAAATTTTAGGTTTTACTCCAAGGGTTGGAGATGGTCTTATAAAAATAAATTTATGTAAAAATTTAATATATTAATATAACACTCATTTATTGAAGCTACTTAAAAAAGCCTTTAAATATCTATTTATTGGCCTTAAAATTTACATGGAAATTATTTTAACTAAGTACATATCATCCGTGTTTAAAATTTATTCGATATGGTCAATATTTTCATAAAATATCTAAAAGATCAAAGACAGATATGAAAATGGGTGGTGAAGTCCAAACTTCACCTCATATTGGAAAAACTATTTAGTTTAGACTAAAAATCAACAAATATTTTTGATATTTCAGACCCATCTTTTATATATTGGAAGAACTTTTATATTTTGTACAAATCCATGTTTAACAATCCCAAGTTTGACTTTAAATTTCCCTAATATCTATAGAATGCAACTGATATCTATATAGATATTGGATATACAAATTTGTGATATACTCGATATATGCGTCGATATTTCTACCAATGTCAATATTTTAAACTTTTTTTTTAATCTTATTTTTTTGCTAAATGATATATTTTGTTAGATTAGATGTTAGATTAGCTACCAGCGGATTTTGAATCCACACTGTTATGCAAGGCTCAACACCTTTCCACCATTGTAGTAAATGGTCACTTGCAATATTTTAAACATTGAATATACTCAAATCTGAACAATCACGTAAAAAATAATATTTACAATAAGGGAGGTGCTATCCACATCCCTTTTTACTTCTCACGCATTCTTGTTAATTTTTGTCTGTGTGATCTTATTCAATTTATTAGATCCGACAACCAAAAATTATAAAAAAATACGTGAGAAATGAAAAGGAATATCACACCCCTTACAACAAACATGGCATTGTACTGCTTACGAGTTCCGAACGCTGAGGCGGCGACGGCGGCCGCCGCTCAGTTTCCAAGTCGGCATTCGGTTTTCGGCACAAAAAATGAATTCGAGCAGCTCGAGCTCCACAAATCTCGACTACTTCGATGACATGTGGAAGCTCCAATCCACCGCCACATTGCTATCCTTATCTGAAGCCAGTTGCTTTTCACTTCACACTCTTCAGTCCTTTCCTTTCTGTTATGTTTCTTTCTCGAGAGAACCTGCAAGGTAAGCAGACGATTTTTCCATCCGCAAGGCAGTGGTCAACCTGCCGATACAGGCGTCATCGCCGTTGCCGATTCCGGCATCAAATTCGTAGCCGAAGATATGCGGTGCAAAGACGGCATAGTAAGTAATCAAATTGTTGATGACTTGATATTATTCTTCCTTAATCTTCAAATGTTTGCTAAGAAAATAAAAAAGAGAAAATTAGGTTCACATCCTTCTTTTTGTTATTCCATTAATTGAAATCCTATTCATTTTCAATTTTTGATCAAAATCTTTGGATATTAATAACATCATTAATTATTTGAATAATAAAATATTTTTTATTTTTAAATATATACCTTTAGTGTTAAAAATGTTACAATTAGTATATTTATGTTAATGGCTAAAGTTTTTATCATATATTTTTATTTTTAGTTTGTACCTATTTTTAATTTGCAAATATTTTTTAATTTGTATCAATTTTCCTTTCATTTTTAATTTGTACCCATATATTAGTTTCTTTTTTTGCCCATATTTTTTAAAGTTTTATTTGTGTTTGTACCCATGTGTATATCGTCACGTGACATTTTATATTTAATCAATAATAGAAAAATTACATATGGTATATTTATGTTTTATGCCTAAACTTTGTATCATATATTTATATTTTTAATTTGTACCCACTTTTAATTTGCAACATTTTTTTTTTTTAAATTTGTAGTATTTTCTTTTTAGTTTTATTTTGTACCCATGTATTAATTTCTTTTAGCGCCTATATTTTTAAAAATTCATTTGTACTCATAATTTTTAATCTTTTATTTGTACCCTAATTTATTTATGGGGCTTTTAATTCCAGGTCTAAAAACATAGATGGTTTTTAGGAGTGAGTCTAATTACCTAATTATATGTATTTATTTTTTAATGCTCATTTTATATTTTCTAAAAATATTAAAAATCAATTAAAATGTTCTAATATTATGAATTTTCAACCCCAAAAAATATAATTAATATCTTATAACAAAAAAAATAATATATTGACATAAATCTATCTGCAAATCATTCTACCCTAACTCAAGTATCAAATATATGAATGTATATCATACCTATACATAAGATATGAAACTTAACTAAAAGGTAGAAAAAACATAAGATATCTATTGTGACATCCCGTCCCGAAAATATTGAAAACGTGCGTGTGAAATGACTACCTTGCCCCTAGTTCGTTTCGTTTACGTTTATTGGTTGTTTGAAGGTGTGTTGGCATGTGTTGGGCCACCCACACACACTCTCACCCTCACTATCTCTCTGTTCCTTTCCCTGTCTCTCTCCCTCTCTCTCCCGAGTACTCTTTCCTTCCTCTTCCTTCTGAAAACGTACGGACACACACAAACACACTCAAACCTTAGCAGATCGAGGGAACCAAGACCACCTTCGAGCTCGTGAGGCTGGAAGGAGTCCAGTCGTGTCATTTTTAGGTAAGAAAACCACCGTTTTCATGTCGTTTTCACGAAACCAGTTTGGGGTACTATTCATGCAAAAGTAATCTAGCACGTTTTTGGGATTTTGAAGCTTGTAGGTGACTTGGTGAGGTCCCAAAGAGCCTCGGAGTGCTTCGTTCGAAGAGTTTTGAAGTCGGAATCGCCTGGTTCGAAGTTGGCCGATTTTGGATTGTGTGGACAGGTAAGATCTCGTGATTTTTAGGCCTTAAAAGTGTTATATCGTTGTTCTACTAGTTCTAGGCTTCAATTTGGTGCAAGAATCGTGGAAAATGGTTGAGAAACGAGAGAGAAAATGAAGTTAGAAGATTTTTCCAGTTTCCGGCGCCGGCGACGTCGCCGGAGTCTCGCCGGAGAAGGAGACGGAATATTCCGTCAATTCTGACGGAATATTCATGACGCTGTTAACGGAATCCGTTAGAAGTAACTGAATATTCCTAACGGCGTCAGTTGACGCCGTCAGCGTGCCAGGCACGTGCCTGCGCGTGGCCGGCGCGTGGGGGCGCGTGCGGCGGTGAAATTTTTTTCTAAAAATATGGGTGTGATCCTGAGGTTGTGTAGAGCATGTTGGTATATTCAATTGTCCATTTTGAGCAATGTATGAGAAGTTATTACGAAAGGAAGGTTATGTGCTTTAAAATTAACGTTTTTATAGTATTTTCGCATATAGGTGAAACGTATCCCGAGGACGAGCGTGGTCACTCGAGGCAGGGGGGCTACGACCCTTCCACATACCAGTGAGTGGGCTTTTGGCTTTCCGTATATACCTATATACTTATATTTTCCCAGAAATTAATTTAAACGTTTATTAGTTATATGCCATGCATTATATTATTGTTACTTATGCATTATTAGTTGCATGATTGGGCGTATAAATTTATATACATATGCATATTTGGTGCTGTGGATGCACAGGTAAGTGCCAGGTAAGTGTTATTCATGTTTACATTCAGTAGCGATTCATGATGCTTAGAGAGCTCATAACCTGCACCCCCGGTGTTAGTGCTCCCGCCCAGAGTAGGGCACAGTCTTTCACGTGTTGTTCACCTCCCGCACCATACGCTCAGCTTGGATCCAAGTTAGGTGCACAGTCTTGTCGTACAGACCACTTTAGGTGGTTCCGACTCGTAGGTGACCCGCGATCATTCGCACAGCCTTCACGTGATCGTAGCACTAGAGCGTTTATATGTTTTACACCCAGGCCTGTCGTACAGACCACTTTAGGTGGTTCCGACTCGTGGGCAGGTTTAGTTATTGATTTTGAGATTTGAGCTCTAGATGCAGCCGTACAGGTCATGTTAGGTGACTCCGGTTGCCAGATTATATGTTATTGATATGATTTATACCTTAGCACTTGCATTTCATTCTGAGGTTCCGACATGGCATATTCTTGAGCTTGATTGGCATATCTATATATATACGAGCATATGTTTATTTTCTGGGAAGTATACAGGTTTTACGGCGAGGGGTTAGAATATTGTTTTTGAAATGGTTTTTAAAAAGCTTTGTTTTTGCCCACTCACGCTTTTGTTTTGCGCCCCTCCAGGTTTTAGCTAGCTAGCAAGGTTGGTGGTTTCCCAAAGGGCTTTCCCGGCATTTCTGACAGACGATCCCCAGCGTAGGTTCACCTTCGGGTGCACTGTTGTAACACTATTTTATTTGGACTGCTTTAGGCTTTCTGCTCTGAACTTGTGTCGTTTCACGCTAGCACTTGTTATTACTTCGACCTTTTGTATGCTAGTTTTTATTTATTCATACTTTTATATTACTACTTTATTAGCTTCCGCACTGTGCACTTGGCTACGTCACTTCCACGTGACGGCCAGCACGCCCTGATCTCGGTCGGGGTGTGTCATCTACAAGCAAGACACATGAATCTTACTTGATTATAAAAAAGAATCTGTCATATAGGTAGATAAATGTAATTAACCTGTGATATAGGTGTTGGAAATGTGCCCTAAAACCAATCATATGATGATACTTTACGGACATTTCAAACTAATGTAGTTTAAATGTAAAGGGCAAAGATTATTGTTTGAGCCGTCTCATATAATGTTATATGCTTAAACGATAAGTCCAAGGAATATGTGATTGGAAGAATGCGATCTAAAGAAGTTAGATTCATGAGACCATTCTTTCGTTGACACATTCTAAACGTTCCTGATCATAGGATTGTCAATTGGGCATTGACAGTCCGTTAAGATCAGTACGTGCTATGTCTTCTCTCAGGGAGAGTGACTAGTCTCGAGTCATTGGTGTGTGTGACATCAAGACAAGTACGTAGGTGCTCAATAGAGAATGAGTTCACTGAACACGATCAACGAAGAGTTCTCATATTCATGTCACATGAGAACTCATGGTTGGGATAATGCAAATTAGTCTTTTGACCTGAGGCATCACAGTTGTCTTGTGGTTAGGTCCTTAATCTTTGATTATGTCAAAGTCACTCCATCAGGAGGGTGTCCATGGCATCGTTGGGGTTAAGCCACTTAGCCATGGAGGCAAGTGAATGCGCAACAAGGGATCTCTAACCTTCAAACTGTTTGAGGGAGAATACTCTATGATATGATTAAGAATCTTTGGCCAAAGTATGAATGAGATTTAGGAATGTGTTCCAAATCACATTCAAGGTAATCATATAAGCACAAGACTCACATTGGATAGTAGACATGAATAAACTATCAAACCAAACAATGTGGTCAAGAGTATTGTATTAGAGAAAGACCGTATTGCATTTGTAATCCTAAAACTGAATAGGTTCTCCACCTCTTCTGATTAGCTTGGGTAACCATGACATGCTGCTAGGCGTCAACCATGGTTTGCGGAAGCCCTAAAAGTGTATTATCACTAAAGGAAGAATTGAAAGTAAGTTTCAATTCACAATCGATTAGAAAGAGTTTTAATCGCCCACTGCCTCGCTAAAAGGAACCTAATGGATCGTTCACCGAGTAAGGTAGAGTTTGAAGAAACAACGGAGATGAGTAAGAATAATTAAATGGTTTAATTGTTTATCTAAGGCTAGGATTAATTAATATGTTAATTAATCAAACGAATAAGTTCGTTAAAGACCTCGGGTTAGTTTTGGGCCGCAAGGCCCAATGGGATTTGAATGTCAAGCCCATTAACTCAAGTTGTATGACAACTTGAATAAACAAAGGGCTTGAAAGCCCAATAAACCCTATAGGCTTGCCATGTTAGAAGAATAGGGCTTTTGGTCCATTAGGTCACTTATTTGAAGGGACTATATAAAGGACTTTATAGCCTAAAATTTAAAAATGGTAATTTTTGGGGAAATGATGAGAACACAAGCTCTCCTTTCTCTCTAAAATTTAGGCCACCTTGGAGCGATTATCTAGCAATCAAACTCCTCCAAGGTCACTCATTTCTTCTTCATTATGCCTTGGTGATGAATCATTAGAGGTTCTCAATTTTGGGAACTTGGAGAAACCTTTTCATCCATCCAAATTCATGGATCTAAGATGCAAGGAATGAAGGCCCTCTCTTTGGGTGATTAGCCTTTGCTTATGCAAAGAGGAATCTACAAAGGTATTGATTTCTCAACTCACTTTGTTTTGAGTTGAGTCTTGGTTCACCTATCTACTAGGCTTTGAATTTCATGGGTAAATGTTTTGTTTTAAGTGCATACAAGCATGATTCCGCCTTTAATTGTTAATTGCATGCTATTGATGTTGCTTAAATGAACATGTTTTTCACAAATCTTCCTTCAAGTGGTATCAAGAGCCTAAGTCTAGTAGTTGGTGAATCCTTTTGGGTTTTGTAGTTCATAGTTTGTGATTTGAATGTTGTAATTGTTTCAAGCTTTATTCTTGCTTCTTTGAATGTAAATTTTGTTAGAAAATTTGCCATCTCAAATGTTGTAGATGTAGTTCATATGAGCATGAATTTTGGAGCTAAAATTTGGTGCTATGTTTTTTGGGGAAATTCGGCCAAATCCAAAGGGTGGATTTTTTGGGTTCTTGTTTGACTTGTTAAAAGTGTTTTAAAGTGACTTTTGGAACCCCTATGTACCCTAGTATGGTTGTATGTTATTTCCCTTAAGTTTGAGTGGTTTTGGTATGTTTTTGGGTGAAGAATGCTTATGGAGCTCTTATGGGTTTTCATGGATGTTCTTCATTGTTCTTGATATGTAACAAAAGGTTTGGTGTTTTGATTCAAAGTTTTGATTTATTTCATAAAGTTTTTGTTTTGAAATATTTCTAATGTTTAAATATATTAGATATTTGTTTTGAAAAATTAAAGAAATTTTAGTGGGTAGGTATGTAATGATTTATTCTATTACACACACCCCACTTACAAAAAACTTTGAAATTTTTTTTATTACTTTGCTTCAAAATCAGCCACCCTACTCAATTAGGGTCCTTGTGGGGCTTTTGTGCAATTATATAAAGTTTTGATACTTTTGTGTATTTGCATTTTGACCCAAAAGTTTACGTTTTTACGTAAAGGTCCAAAATCACTAAAAGGACAAATTGTTTTGCTCCTTTAATGAAGTTTTATTTTTTGTGGAAATTTTTGGGTTCTAGTTGTAATTACATGAAGTAGTGGACTTTTGTGTTTTTACAAAGTGACCCCAAAAGTTTAAGTTTTTGCAAAATAGCCCAAAAGTTGAGGTTAATTGCACTATGGCCCAAACAAGTTGAGGTCATAGCATTTTGGCCCAAATTAGGTAGAGAACAAAATTGTTTTGTCTCTTTAAATGAGAATTGGATTTTCATTTCATTTAGCTCCATTTAAATCAATTCTATGGATACAAAAACCAAATGAAAATGTTGCATTCAAGTTGAATTAGTTAAAGCGTTAATTAATTAAAGAAAGGGTGATTATGAACCTTAGCCTACGATAATTGAGCTATGTGAAAGGCCGTTTCAAATTTGTTTGAACCATGGGAATGTGTAGATTAAATTTTGGTTGTAATTTGATATGATCAATTGTTGTAAAAGAGCATAAGCTCTTCTTTACTTTAAAGTAATTTGATTTGCTTTAAAGTAATTTGATTTGATCAATTGTTGTAAAAGAGCATAAGCTCTTATTTACTTTGAAGTATTCCTTTCTTGTTTTATTCGATATGCATGAAATTGGAGTAGTTGGGTCCAACGCCCAATAAGACAACACGCCTTAATGTGATTAAACACGTAACTAAAATCAATCTCCATCCCTAGACCGAGATTCAACACTAGGCTCGTGTTGAATCGAATCAAAGGTTCATAGTCATCCTAAGGCCCTAAGGCAACTATATAGTCCATCAATGAATGCAAATCTTATGTTAGTAGTACCATATAGTCTTGCTTTAAAAACTGTTTTAAAAGCATAGTGAGAGTATTATATACTACTAAATCAATCATAAGGACCAATAGTTGTAATAGGACCAAAATGTTTTAATTAGATTAAAATGTATGTTTATATGTGATGAGACCTAAAAACCCTCAACCAAATCAATATTAAGTTGATAAGCGAGATATGCTTTGAATATCTCTTCGTGGCCTTCCACCGTGGTAGGCTCCAATCGTTTGTGACTTGTACACCGGCTTCACCCTATAATGGGGGAGTACAAAGTGCATGCTTACATTCAGGAGGAGTCTATACGCATATGATGAGGTGAGTGTAGACAACGAGTATGACCAACATGATATAATTCTGAGGTTGTGGTTGAATCTCTACATAAACTAAGCATGGTGGGAATAACTTAACTAAGTGCAATGGTGCCAACATGATATAATTCTGAGGCATTCATTCTCTAGAGGCCAAACTAGATGGGTAATTACAAGAGTTGTAAATGACTAAAGTGTTATTCTCTCATCATTATTTTTGCTAACCAAAATGATATAATTCTGAGGTGGGCTTGGTAATGGTGAGTCTCCCATACCCCGCTAAGAGTTCAACAAAACTCTCGAATTCTGATGAGGGATATGGAATTTGCCAAAAATAGTGGGTGGTGCTATTTGATTTAAAGACCCGAATCAAATGGCTTAAAATCAATCAATTTATATTCGTTATGTATTTGTTTACCAATATATTTTGCAAACGCTATCCAAAACTTGACAAAGAAAAGCCGAATGCTTTAATTTCCGGACTTAGTTCTACAATCCCATAGATTGTCTTTAATGGCTTGTAGATGTAACTAAGTAGTCTCATCCTCACAATCTTCCTATTGATAATGTATCATTGGAAGAATATGTTAGATAAGTCTAACATGAGAAGGAGAACACTTTTAAATGTCATAATTCTTCAAATACAAATTGTTGTATGAAGAAATAAGAGTTGCTTTGAACAACCCTTAATCAACACAAACTTTAGTGCTTGTCTCTTTGTTACACGAACAAGGAACTTGAGAAGTAAGCACAAGGGCATGAATACTTTATGTGCCATGATTCTTCACTTACAAATTGTTGTATGAAGAAATGAGAGTTGCCTTGAACAACTCTTGAAAGTTTGTAATTATGTTTAGAACATAATGGTTGGTTGACAAAAAAAAAAAAAAAATAGTCCATCAACGTGGACTTATGATGATTTTGAATCATTGAGTGTTGAAGTGTTAAACCACTTAACGAGACGGAAACTAGGCAAGGACTTCACCTTTGTGTCCCTATCCTAATGGTTCACTAAGTTTATTGTAAACTATATAGTGAACAATAACCGCACGCTCTCCAAATCGGTTGATGTGTATAACACATTTGAAATAAGTTTCAAGAGAAATAGTGGGAGTTTAGGGACCATGACTATTGTAATCAAAAGGGAAGTCAAATGAAGAAGGCAAAATAACTCCAAGGGAACAAACTTTCTTTATGAAAGGATGGACATTGGAAGGGGTATTTGCAAGAAATGTCTTGCAAGTGTCAAAGAACACACCTTTCGAAGGTGTTGTAAAATGTTCTTGAATAATTCAAAACAGTTGGTTCTTCTACTTGAATACATGATTCTGTATTAGCAACTATGTTTTACAATTGTTGTAAAAGTGTGCTAATAAAAAGTAGAAGATTAATGAGAGAAGAGAAAGTACTTCACATTCGGAAAGTGAATAAAATATAGATCTCTGTGAAAGCGGATTGTACTTACTTCCTCATATAAACTACCAAGGAAATTGGAAAATACTAAAGATTGTCTTTACATTCCAATTTTAAGGAACTTAAATTCGTTACTATAGTAGAGATGGATGAATGTTTTGTTTGACAAAACATTGTTCTTTATTAATGAATGATTAGATTATGGTAGTCTAATTAATTGTCTCTGTAGTAGAGATGATGTGGTAGTGTTAACTGTTTAAGAATATAACGATGCTTAAAACCCAAAAGGTTGCAAGGTAGTGACTAATCCCAACTGAGTTGTGATACCTCTAAAACATAAGTTACGAGTTAGTCATAGATGGATGCTTTGGATCGTTAGATCTGGATCCAATACCTTCTTGTTAAAATTGTATAGAGGCGAAATGTTCGAATCTTTATTCTTTTGGAAAGAAGAAAGAATCACAAAGTTGTTGAGGTTAATTCACTTAGATGTTAGTGGCACTTGTCCACAACATAATACTACTCATGTTGTATGACATTCACCGAAGATCACTCTCGGTTGGACTATAGTTTATTTTGAATAAACACAAGTCCGAATACTTTGCAAAAGGTTTCAAAGAATTCAAGAAATGTAAGTAGATGAGTAAGACGTCTAAAGTATTTACCTCCTTAGATTTGATCCAAAGAAAAAGTAACACTTTAGATTAATTTCCTTGAAAAATATCAAGGAAAGTAGCATCGTAAGATAATGAATTTCTCCATTAGGAGAAGAATGAACATAAATAAGATTTAGTTCGTTGGACATTATCAATTACCCATATATATATGATATATACTTCTAAGACATGTTAGTTGTAGAGATCCATCCATCATGGATCTTAGCAAGCTAGTGGGAGCTATAAGCGTCTTATGAGAAAAGATCAATTGTTTGATTTCTCATAAAGATGTAAATGAATCTTTTGTTTACTAGGTTTACAAAAGATTAGTGGGAGTTGATCATATTCCTAAATTTGAATATATATACATGATATATATTAATTTTGAAAATTAAAGGAATTCTTCATCGTTAAAGTTATAACTTTAAACATTCTATAATGATAGAATGTATATGGGAGACATAGTCTATATACATGGGATGGAAATCTATAATGATAGATTTCAAGATATAATTGGATTATATCAATCCCTAAAATAGACAAGAGATGCTAGGAAGTTTCTCATATGATGATAAACTTCAATTAGAATGACAATTCTAGTGAGACTAGGAAGTTGTTCTTCTCAAAGGGAATGTACCCTTTGACTCCCAAAGAAATAATGCGTAAATAGAATCCTTTATGCATACGCAGAAAGGTGATTTATGTATTTCATATTGTATGAAAACATTGATATAAGTTGTACCCAGAACGGTACAAGATGATATCAGTGCAAGCCCAGGATCAGAACCATGGCAACTGTCAAGTGAATCCTTAGGTATTTAAGAAATACTAAGGATGGATTCCTCAAGAATGAGGAAGAATTAGAGTAACGTAATGGAAGCGTAAATGTATTAGATTATGAATCTAATCCATCATACAATATCTCTTCATTACGAATGAAGTGATAATGAGATATCTCTTTATTATGACTAAAGAGATATTTGGGTGGAAACGTTAAAAGTAATGACTTTAATGTGTTCCATCATGTATGCAAAATATATTGCCATATAGAAGCTTACAACATTCTTGTTTGGATGGGAAAGTTCATTCATGAACTCTCCATTCGGTTCCAACCAGAAAGTGTATGACACTAATGGGGCGATAGCTCAAGCCAGGGAATCAAGGTCTCATCAAGGTCCGAACTCAAATGAGAGACTGAACCACATGATTGAGAATCATGTATAATGGTGACGTCGTTATTCTCATGGTTGCTTCTATGGATAACATATAGATATCCATTGTTTAGGCCTACTACTCAGCCATTTATGAAATGAATTACAGAAGAGGTATCATCACTGATGAACAAGCTGATTGGCTCTAGTGCAAGTGGGAGATTGTTGGAAATGTGCCCTAAAACCAATCATATGATGATACTTTACGGATATTTCAAACTAATGTAGTTTAAATGTAAAGGGCAAAGATTATTGTTTGAGCCGTCTCATATAAATGTTATATGCTTAAATGATAAGTCCAAGGAATATGTGATTGGAAGAATGCGATCTAAAGAAGTTAGATTCATGAGACCATTCTTTCGTTGACACATCCTAAACGTTCCTGATCATAGGATTGTCAATTGGGCATTGACAGTCCGTTAAGATCAGTACGTGCTATGTCTTCTCTCAGGGAGAGTGACTAGTCTCGAGTCATTGGTGTGTGTGACATCAAGACAAGTACGTAGGTGCTCAATAGAGAATGAGTTCACTGAACACGATTAACGAAGAGTTCTCATATTCATGTCACATGAGAATTCATGGTTGGGATAATGCAAATTAGTCTTTTGACCTGAGGCATCACAGTTGTCTTGTGGTTAGGTCCTTAATCTTTGATTATGTCAAAGTCACTCCATCAGGAGGGTGTCCATGACATCGTTGGGGTTAAGCCACTTAGCCATGGAGGCAAGTGAATGCGCAACAAGGGATCTCTAACCTTCAAACTGTTTGAGGGAGAATACTCTATGATATGATTAAGAATCTTTGGCCAAAGTATGAATGAGATTTAGGAATGTGTTCCAAATCACATTCAAGGTAATCATATAAGCACAAGACTCACATTGGATAGTAGACATGAATAAACTATCAAACCAAACAATGTGGTCAAGAGTATTGTATTAGAGAAAGACCGTATTGCATTTGTAATCCTAAAACTGAATAGGTTCTCCACCTCTTCTGATTAGCTTGGGTAACCATGACATGCTACTAGGCGTCAACCATGGTTTGCGGAAGCCCTAAAAGTGTATTATCACTAACGGGAGAATTGAAAGTAAGTTTCAATTCACAATCGATTAGAAAGAGTTTTAATCGCCCACTGCCTCGCTAAAAGGAACCTAATGGATCGTTCACCGAGTAAGGTAGAGTTTGAAGAAACAACAGAGATGAGTAAGAATAATTAAATGGTTTAATTGTTTATCTAAGGCTAGGATTAATTAATATGTTAATTAATCAAACGAATAAGTTCGTTAAAGACCTCAGGTTAGTTTTGGGCCGCAAGGCCCAATGGGATTTGAATGTCAAGCCCATTAACTCAAGTTGTATGACAACTTGAATAAACAAAGGGCTTGAAAGCCCAATAAACCCTATAGGCTTGCCATGTTAGAAGAATAGGGCTTTTGGTCCATTAGTTCACTTATTTGAAGGGACTATATAAAGGACTTTATAGCCTAAAATTTAAAAATGGTAATTTTTGGGGAAATGATGAGAACACAAGCTCTCCTTTCTCTCTAAAATTTAGGCCACCTTGGAGGGATCATCTAGCAATCAAACTCCTCCAAGGTCACTCATTTCTTCTTCATTATGCCTTGGTGATGAATCATTAGAGGTTCTCAATTTTGGGAACTTGGAGAAACCTTTTCATCCATCCAAATTCATGGATCTAAGATGCAAGGAATGAAGACCCTCTCTTTGGGTGATTAGCCTTTGCTTATGCAAAGAGGAATCTACAAAGGTATTGATTTCTCAACTCACTTTGTTTTGAGTTGAGTCTTGGTTCACCTATCTACTAGGCTTTGAATTTCATGGGTAAATGTTTTGTTTTAAGTGCATACAAGCATGATTCCGCCTTTAATTGTTAATTGCATGCTATTGATGTTGCTTAAATGAACATGTTTTTCACAAATCTTCCTTCAATAGGTTGATTATAAAAATAAAAAAATAAAATCTATAAATGGGGTTTAAAACGGGATAAAGAACAAGAAATAACAAAAATAAATAAATAATCAAAGAGATAATTAGGAAGAAATTTGATTCTTATAAGAAATCTTATCATTTAAGAGATAATTATTGATAATAAAATAATAAGATTTAAGGAATTGGACTTATTTTAATAAATTAGACTATTCCTACTATTCGCTCAAAAAATTGGACCTATATCAAGTTTCCCCTTTATTTATAATGTACCCATTCTTCTTTATTAATGTACCACTTTGTTATATGTGAAATGTACAAATTTTTTTGTAAAATGTACCAATTTTTTTAACACTATGGATACATTCTTTTGCCATTTATTATTTCTTATTTTTACATAGTTTTTATCCATTTATTCAATCAAAATGTTTGAATTTTTTTTATTGTAACCGTTTCTAATAGTATTATAATGAGGGATTTTAAATTTATAGGATTATAAATCGCATAAAATATCAAACAATTAATGTCAAAACTATAAAAATATTAATATTAATATTAATATAATGAGGTGTACAAAGTTAAGGAACCTTGATCAAACTTTGAATACTATTAAGGTTTTAATAAAAAAATGTTAAGGATTAGAAACTACATTCAAAGTATCCCAATAAAAAAATTATGTTTTTTTTTTTTTTTAGTGTTTCACGGTTTCACCCAATTTTGATTAGGTTTTCCACTACGGTTTCGTTGAGAGTTCCGGCGAGGAATTGGAGTCCGAAATTCAGAAAGGTAAAGCGGTGGTGGTGTGTGTGGATGAGTCAAGCAAAAGCTAATTACGCATATACTCGAAGAAATCGACTCATTTGATTGTTTAAGTTTATCATGTAAGTTGCTGTGCCTGTTCTTTGATTAAACAATTATTGTACAACGAACTCCAAGTTCGATTTTCGGCCAAAATACTCTGAAGCTCGTTTGCTTACTCGTTGTTTCATAATTCATATTTTGATGATTGATTGTGGAGTTGTTTTTGTGCAGGCTTCACTCGGCCGGACATTTGCTGGATGCATACATGTATGAGAAATGTGGGATTGGGTGATTTAGAGCCAGCCAAAGGCTACCATTTCCCTCCGGGGTATGATTATTTCTGCTTTATTGTTTTAAGCCTATATTAGAAGGTGTCGGCCTTAAAGTGAAAACTTATTACCATCCCGTAAGTGAATTTGAAACGATTTATTTAGACGGCCAAATCAGAGTCACACATGTAAACACGAGGATTTGAGTGTAGCCTAGGCCACCCCCACCGAATTGGCTTGGGCAGCAGCTGCCTTGTGTTGGCCTCCAAACCTCCTCCATAAAGTCTCCGGTATGTTATGTGGTCCTTGTGGAAAGGGTTGTGTCTCCCGATATAAGCCACCAAATAAATATGCTACTTAGAGCCAATTAGGTCAAAAGTGTTCCTCTGAATTGGGGACCTATTGAGTGTCAGCATATATTGCTGGAGCTTTTACCCCTAAATAGATAAAAGAACCCGCTGTGGCATAAGTGATCGCACATGCTTCAGATTGAAGCAACATATCCTTCACCAGTTTTTCTCAAATTCATATGAGTTCATTATCGGCCTTAGTATTCTGAGATGTGAACAGTTTTTTTTTTATTATTTTTTTTTTTTAAGACACGATGTTGTTGTTCGCATATCCTTCTGATTTGGTACTTATAAATTTATAATGTACTTATTTCCAGGCCATATGCGGAATATAAAAGCACAGTTCCGCAAAAAGATATAGCAAGTAAGCAAAAGGAGTTGAAGGTAGAAGTTAATGCATTAATATCGAGAGGAGGAAAAGTGAGTTGCAATATTTATCTGATATGAATTTGCATGCTTGGTATGGTATATTAGGCCATTTCTAACCGAGGGCTGGCCAGATGACTCGTTTTAGCTCTTTGGCTTTCCAAGATATTAATATTTTAATGAACAATACGGGGCCATATTTGCCTTCATCTCCAACCGAGGGGCAAAGGGCCATAAGGTTTGTTTTAGCCCTGTCACAAAAAACCGTTGTGAACACGGAAAATTCTTGAAAAACAAGAGACAAGAATACGTGTACAAAATAATATTTTTGTGTTTAATGATTTTGGGGTTACGATCTCTTTGTAATTTGATCATCTGATTCTATCTTCGTAGGGTGTAGGTTTGTGGATGAGTTGTTGATCCAAAGGGCCGTCGGGGCTTGATCTAAGGATGAACAGTTGATGAATGGATCTTCAAGGGGTGTTGGGCTTGATCTTGAAGAATGGGTGTATGAGTTTGTTGAGGTTGTTGATTCAAAGGGCCGTTGGGGCTTGATCTTAGGATGAACGGATGATGAATGAATCTTCAAGGGGCCATCGGGGCTTGATCTTGAAGGTTGATGGATGAGCGGATCTTCAAGAGCTTTTGGGCTTGATCTTGAAGAACGGTTGGATATGTGGATTTGTTGATGTTGTTGATCCAAAGGGCCGTTGGGGCTTGATCTTAGGATGAACGGATGATGAACAATGAACACTTTCTTCAAGGGCCGTCGGGGCTTGATCTTGAGTTAGTTGAAGTTCTTCAAGGGCCGTTGGGGCTTGATCTTGAAGGAGGATTTGACGAAGAACGAAGAGTGCTTTCTTGATCCTTCGGGATTTTCTTGAGAGCTTTAGAACTTTAAGGCTTCAAGGTTTTGGTGTGTGTCCTTTCCTCTTGATGGAGAAGCCTATTTATAGGTTTTGAGAGTGAATCACCACCATTCATTTTTTTGGTGAAGTGAGTGGATGTTGTAGGTGAAGTAAATGGAGTTGGTAGGTGAAGTAAGTGTGTGAGGTTGGTGAAGTAAGTGGAAGTTGTAGGTGAAATGAGTGTGTGATGTAGGTGAAATAAGTGGAAGTTGTAGGTGAAATGAGTGTGTGATGTAGGTGAAATAAATAAATGTTGTAATTTTAATACATTGGTTAACATTTATTTCACTGAAATTTCGATGTCTACAACCGTCTTCAACCGAGGGCCAAAGGGCCAAACATACTTTATTATTTTAAAACTACAACTTAAATTCAAATCCAACGGCTGAGTAACATTAGCTAGCCGTTGGATTTGAACCAAATTTTGTAAAATAGAAGTTATAGGAAAAAAAATAGAATTTAAAAAAAATATGAAACAAATTTTGTAAAATAGAAGTTATAGAAAAAAAAAATAGAAAAAACAAAGCTTTAAATTCATTAAAAAAAAAAAAAAAAGAATGCAACAGCTAGCTGACTCAGCTAGCCGTTGTATTCAAAATTTTCATACTATTCGTGTCAATTGCAAGTAATCAAAATTATTCCTGTGTAGCCATTACTATTCGTGTCGGTTATAAATCCGACAGTTTTAAGCAAAATTCTGGTCAACCCGGGGATGCTGGCTGGTTGGAAGGGGCCAGCCTTTTGGCCCTTTCAGATTTCGTGGGGCCCACGAGCCATCTGGCCTAGCCCTCGGTTGGAGACGGTTTTTGGGCTATTTTCTGCCCTCTGGCCCTCTGGACCTTTCGGTTGAAGATGACCTTAGATCTAATACGTTACCATAGTTTTCTTAGATTTCTGCTGCCTTGTTACCATATGAAGAAGCATGTAAGTTATGTGGTGATTACCTTACCAATTATATTGCAAAGGTTATCCTAGACCTGTTTCAAATACATTTTCATATCGGACCCTTAGGGTGCGTTTGTTACACCAGACTATCTCAGACTGGACTAGCTTTAGGGACTAAGCTGGACTGGCTTAGACTAAACTAGACTAGACTAACTTAGTGAAGCGTTTGGTGCAATGTCGGACTAAAAAACTGGATAAAATAACAAATTATAATATTATATTATTTAATATATATATATATATATATCTAATAATATTTTATTATTAATTCAACTTTTTTTTCCCAAAAAATTCGAACACGCACTTCTACCTCTCTCTAGAGAGTTCTTTACTTTTGTTCCACTTTGGTTCCGTCCCCAATACTTCCTTTCCTCCTCTCTTTTTCCTGCAAAAAGCTTCAAAACCAAGTTTCCTGCAAAATCGTCGCCAAGGCTACCTTCTCCTCCCTCTCTGTCTCTTAATCTCTCTTTGTCCCCAACTTTGTCCCCTTCTCTATCCATTTCTCTCCGGAATTTTCTGGAGAAAAGGGAACCTTTATGGGAATTTTCGAAAATAAGGTAGAATTTTTCTATTGAGATTGTTGATATTATTGTTTTGCTTTTTTCTTTTTTTTTTTCTTCGGATTTTGGTGGTTGGATTTTGAGATTTAGGTTGTGAGTGGGTTTGGGTTTCAAATCTGGGCATGGGAGGGCAAATGGAGTTGCCCAGAAGCATGCTTGCAAACTTGTAGCTTTCATACGACATGCAGACAATTTTGAAAACGGGACTAGCTATCCCATAGTTTTTGAGGGGTTTCGCTAAGACTGGCTAATCCCATGGTTAGTCGAGGCAAGTGAACGTTAGTGTCATTAAAGTTAGTCCATCGGGTACCAAACACGAGACTGGACTAACCCTTAGTCCAGTTCAATCCAATGAGAGTTAGAGAGGGCAAACAAACGCCCCCTTAAAGTTTTAGTACTTAAAATATTCCAGTACTAACTATTAATTGCATTTACTTTTTTGCATCTCTGGTCTCTTGCAGGTAGTGGCGGATCTAGGAAATAATATTAAGGGGCTCAGTAAGAATAGGCGTGCACAGCGCACAAATTTTTTTTACCAGAAATAACATGCATATCACCATTTCAACGAGTCTTGGTAGGTCTAAAGTCATTTGGAAAGGCATACTACACACCTGTTAATGCCTCATGTGCGTGGGTAACTAACATGTTTCAAGGCTGCTCTTATATGAATGTTTAACAAAGAAACACACTTATCTTGAACACACTAATAATGTTTGATATCATTGCATCTCAATAATATATTTGTCCAAGAATGATGATGCTTTGTTAGTCACTAAGATCACCATTTCATTCACTCTTCTTTCAGACATTTTATCAAATAATTGGAGTGCATATATAAAGCTAACTCTAATCTTCAAAAAGGCAGCACTTAAGACCATCTCCAACCAAAGGATCCAGAGGGCTGAAAAACGTCTTCAACTTAGGGCTAGGGCAAAGGGCTCGTGGGCCCCACTAGACAAAAAAGTGCCAAAGGGCCAACTGGTTGGCCCAACTCAACCAGCCCCATGCTGGCCAAACTTTTCATTATTCTAGTTGGTTATATCCAACAACATTGTATTTATTACTGTCGGTTATAGCCAACATGAATGGTAGGCCTTTTATTTTTTATTTTTTATAAATTCTATTTTTTTCCCATAACTTCGTAAGCCATTATACAACATTAAATTAAATTAAGTAATATGAAACAATATGAAACAACACTAAATAACATTAAATTTAAATAATGAATTATGTTTGGCCCTATGACCCTTTGGCCTTCGGTTGGAGACGGTTTTTTGTGACAAGGTTAAAACGAGTCCTATGACCCTTTGACCCTCGGTTAGAGATGAAGGCAAATATGATCATGTACTGTTCATTAAAATATTAATATTTTGGAAGGCCAGAGGGCTAAAACGAGCCCTTTGGCTCTCATTCGGTTGGAGATGACCTAAGGTACCCATGAACGTTCATTGAAGTTCAAAGGATCAGCATCCAAAGTATCCATTGACGTTTACCCAAATTCGGAGGATTAGCTGCCCCTCTGCCCCTCAATGCATCTGCCACTGCTTGCAGGACATCATTCCTCGCATTGTGAAGCTAGGGGACAGTGATAGTATAGGCTGCCCGTGTGGTGGTACTCGTGTTTCTGATATATCAGAGATCAAGAGTATTATGGTGGTACCCATGTTTCTGTTATATCAGAGATCAAGAGTATTATGGTAAGAATCGATTTGCTTTGATGTTCTTATGCATTGATTGATGTCTCAAATTTTTCTCAAATTTAGGAGCATGAAATGAATGTTTAAAGCAAGAATATGTTGGTCTGCTCTTATTTCGAGTGAGTTACTTAATTACTTGTTCAGGTTACTGAAATAGAAAGGACCGCCAAAGGTCTTTTACAATATCGGGTGACTCAGGTCCTCAATCTTTGTGTAATCTTTGATACAAAGATCTGGATCATTGTGTAAAATTTGACAACTTATATAACTTTTATCATAGCGTGTTCTTGTAAACCTATAAATCTTTTCAGGTTTTTTACAATTCCGCCAAAAGCGAAGCAATGATTGTAATTTGTTTGTATTGTGTGCGTGTATTTAGTATTTTTTTAAATAGTTCCGTTTAATTAGTATATTCGGAATCCATTGACACTCCACAAGCATAGACAAGGAGAGCAGTTTGTCTCGCACGAACTAGTCGAAAGCGTCGCCATCCTCATTTGGATTCCCTGGTTTCAAGTTTCGAATAAGACTCGAAATTCTTATCGGGCAGCTGGAAATCGCCAATGCCATTCCTGTGGCGTGTCCTAGGAGATGTACTTGGGTGGTCCGCAGGCCGTATCAGAAAATGCTTGGAAAGAATCGCTTCAAGTTTCACAATCTTCCTACATTTTGGATACACTTACAAAATCATTGGAAATGTACAAAAATTTGGATTACACTTTGTTTTTCCATTTGGGTGCTTAAAACTTTCGTTTTCATTGACAGTCAATAACATCGTAGAAATTATATAAATTTATTTAAATTACAAGAACAAAGATTCAAACTTAAACATCGAAATGTAGCACGTTCTTTTAGTTAGCTTGTCTAAACTCGTAAATATGGTCAAAATGTTTGTGTTGGCTTCAACTTTTCTCTTGGGTTGAAACGTGGCTTTTCGTTAGGACTTTGACCAGGTCAAATCCATTGCAAAACGTGGAAGGTTGATTGCGGAAGTTTGAAGCCATCTCTCAGTCATTTACCATCGCATCTGATGACCTAGCCAAAATCGATCATCTGATGGAGACATCCCGTCTTAGAGCATCTCCAATGAGAGTTTCTACTTAAGACTTATACCATCATTTTTAAGGATTCATTTAGAAGTTTTAGAGGAATATTCGATTTC